TAATAATAAATATCTAGCTATATCCTAATAATGACACAACCACGTATAAACTACCGTAACCATATCCTAACAATGACATGACCACATATAAGATATTGTGAACATATTCTGACAATGACACAATAAAACAATATAGCCATATCCTGATAATGGCATAAATAAAAAAGGCTCTAACTTATTAGCCGGTCCACCTATACTCATCAATACCAAAACCGTATTCTGACAATGGTCCCACATAACAACAAAAGTAGATCATGTATAAGATTATACAATACAGTCACGAGAATGATTAAAATCATTTTATCACATATTGTAATTATTATAACAATTAAACAATAATAAATCACACGTATAACCTATAAGTCATTAGGTCCGTTTCATCTAACATTGTCAACCTCTAAAATATAGCCCCATATCATACATGTAAATCATACTTGCAGCCACCAAAATGGTCATAATCATATTCCATGCTAAACATTTAAATACCAATGTTTAAATAATTCAAAGATTCAATTTACTACTTATTAGTTGAATAAATTCCCTATTAACATGCATACTTAAGTTTCATGCCATTTAATCCACATACCACTGTTCCCAAGCCTTAATAATATATTCGGGACTTTAATAAATTAGTTCAGGGCAAATCAGAATGTGTTCGTGGCAAAACAGGTCATAAGTGCTTGAGCACCCCATTACTGAGCTCAAGCACTGAATAACGCTCGAAACCTGCCCAAACATCGCTCAAGCCTGTAAATAGCGCTCAGGCCCTGTTTTGGAAAAATAGCTCGAGGCTAAATTTAAAGCCATGGGTTGATCAAGTCCATGTCCAAAACCAATGGATATTAAACAATTAAAGTAATAATCTAACACGGAATACAAAAAGATAAATAAATAAAGGAAAAATATCATTGAATGGAAACTAAATAATTAAATGAATAAAATCTTCCATGAATAAAATCATTTAATCCTCAAAGATAAATAATAAAATCCAAAGAATACAACTTGGGAATCCTCAAACACGGACCCCTAATAAAATCACATAACTGAAAATAATAAATGTCTAAAAACTGAAATAACTAATCAGAAGATAGAATCCTGACACCGGAAGTGTAATGATGTCAAGTCTCTGATCTGCACAAACAACTCCTAAGTTGTAGAAGCTAAGATGGCGTCCTTGATGTGTAATATTCAAAGGAGTGAGATTAGGAAGAAAAGAGAAGGGGGAGAGAGAGAGAGAGAGCATAAAGTTGTGGGGACATGCAATCTCAATAGGTAGATCGGATCGGTAAAAATTAGTCGTTCAAAATATCATTTTCCTTTGGAAAGTGGTAATTAACAAATGCCTATCAAAGTAATAGATGAATATTAATGATCAAAGACACCAATAGTTTGCAATTTGAAATATAAAACAAATATACATATACACGGTGGTTGAAACTTTAATTGCCAACAAAGATACTACATTAATGATCAAAGCTAATGATTTATCTGACTCCCAGAATCAAAAACAAGTAGATAATTTTTTAAAAAAAAAATTGCAAAGTATGGAAAATTTATAAAAATATTGCAGTTTTTGCTATAGATTTTGTACAAAATCAAATTATTAAATTTGAGTACTATGAAACTTGCTGTGACAACAAAAAAGAAGATGATACGGCTATCGAGGACTAAAAAGATATGGAAAGGGGATATGAAAAACTGAAAAGATAAGGAAAGGAAAAGGGAAATTGACGAATTTATGAAAACAAACAAGAGTAGTAATGATACATATTTAAGTTACCAACAGTCCTTTGGCCTAACGGTACAAGGCCCCTACCTCCCAAAGGAAGGTTAGAGGTTCGAACCTCAGTGGAGGCAGTGTGTGACTACCAACTAAAAAAAACAAGAAATTGGTTATTACTCCTTTACTTTCAAGAACTCATATACACTAAGAAAAAGTCTTATCCATTTATATCCATTTGTAGATGGAGCTTCAATAGTAGCTAGGTCTAGAGGGAAGTTATGAGCATTACATTCGTGCATAACTTCCATACCAAGGTTAGCGCAGTTAATGATATCAGCCCAAGTATTAATTACACGGCATTGACTATCAACTAGAGATTTAAGTTGAAATTTCATATTTTTATGTCTGTTGTCAATTATATGATTTTCCTAACCATAAACATGTTAAAAAATTGTTATTATTATTTTTTAATTCACTTTACTTTTTCTCTTTTTACTTTTCATTATTATTTTTTGGGAAAAAATCACATAACCCCCCTGTACTATCGTTTTCGTCCAAAATGCCCCGACTAAAATTAAATACCCCCTTGAACTCACAAAAGTCATCAAGTTGCCCCCAAATTGATTATTACATTGTGAAATGTCAAAATTGGCTTTGTGATGTAATAGTAAATTTTTAATTGATAATTCTTATTTTAAAATTCCAAAAATACCCTTTTAAAAGTGGGTTTTCTTCTTCTTCACCTGATCCTCCCAAACCATCTGTCTGCATGTCATGTGCCTGCTCCGCCGACTTCTGAGCCATGGCTTGATGCCTCTCTTGCCCAACACCTTCTCTCTCTTTGCGACTAGTAAGTTGCTAAAACGACGACCAAGCAATTGTGAAGAACGGTCCCGTCCACCAGACGGCCGGAGAGAAGCTTGGTTTTTGAGAATCAGTACGTACAAGAATGTTGGCAATTTTGATTTGTTTGTTGTTCGGAATTCGAAGTTTTGGAGTCGAAAAAGGTTGTTTCTGATTGAATTTGAGTCCCAAAAGACATTTTAGGGAGTTTCTCTATTGGATTGCTGGTTTTGTACTTGTGAAAGGATCAATCAGAGGAGAGAGAGGGCACCGATCTGAAATTGCAGCAACATAACAAGAAAAAAAAAAATGCTTGCTCTATTTCTTTCATGGGTCTGGTTTTAGAGAGAGAGGTAGAGAGAGAGGGGCGAAGATTTCATGCATTTGTATTGGGCATTTCTGATCTATCTATCTATCTATCTATCTATCTATATTTATATATATCTGTATGTATACATGTGTATACATATGTGAACGAAGAGACACTGAAGGTATTTGATTTGCTTCTGATGACTTATTTGGTTAATGAAAAAGATAAGAAATTGTGATTGCAAATCTTAAATTTATCTTTTTACAAATAATTTCTCTTTTTACAAAGAATTTCTCTTTTAATATTGAACCGATGAGAATAATTTCTCTTTTTACAAAGAATTTCTATTTTAAGACCCAGAATCTGATTCATTCAAATCAAACCCTAATCAAACCCAGAACCGAGTCTGTATGTGGAAGATTTGTTCGTGAGGGAGTGTTATAGGAGGAAAGTGTTTGGGAAGTTGGTGTTGGCGGCGCAGGAGGCGAAGATGGGGTACTAGCAAACGGCTTTTGTTAATAATGAAAGGGTAAAATCGTCACTTTAAAAATAATTTTTAAGTTTTAATTTAATATTGAATAATAATGTTAAATTTATCATTTCATAATCTAATTAACGGATTGGTTACGAATTTAAGGTAAAATGATGAGTTTTGTTAATTTAGGAAGGTGTTTAATTTTAGTGGGCATTTTGAACTAAAACGACAGTCCATAGAGGTTATGTGATTTTTCCCCCTTAGTACCAGGCCATAATATTTTCTTGAAAAATTACTAATTGTCACAGGGGTAAATTCTGAACACGAATCTAGTGCCCTGTGATGGCACTAAGCCAGAAATATGAACAACTTTTCTTTGAATTTCTAACTTAGCTCAGCCAACTCACACTTGCTGCCTAGAACACACAGCAAGTAAAACACTCTCGCACACAAGTATAGTTGCAAGAATGTAAAAACAATAACACCCACGAATTTACAGAAGCATAAGGCTTCCAACCTTTTATTATTATTCACAAAACAGTACGAGGAAAGGCCTCAACCTGCAGAAGCATACAAGAGTCTCTCATAACACAACTCTGTGTCTCACTCTCAATCTCTCCTCTCTACAGAACCCACATTAGCAATATATAGGCAAACTCTCAAAACCGCCCACTAATGTGGTGGATGACACCCCCATCCACCCACAACTATCCACTAAAGTGGTGGATGACACCCCCATCCACCTAGGGTCATGTTGGCACCCACTAAGTGTGCCAACACTACATATGTAGTTGACAAGCCCAACTACTAGCTTGTTGGCACGCTCTGCTCATGCCACTTGTTCATAGGAAGTTTCACATTATCTATCACCTTCTATATATCAACATAGTGGAAGAAAACCGACTCTAACCACTTGTGTGTTGTCCCCTCAGATCTGTGCCACATGCTTTGGAAGTTACTCAGCATACCCCCACTCCCCAAAATATATGCACATGAGTGGGAAGTTGGGAAGTTACTCAGCACACACCCACTACCCACAATATATGCACACTAGTGAGAAGTGTTAGTAACTTCCCCTAACCAACTGAGCCCACTGAGTGGGAAGTGTTAGTAACTTCCCCCAACCAACTGAGCCCACTTAGTGGGAAGTGTAACTTCCACGAACCAACTAAGCCCACTCAGCGGGAAGTGTAACTTCCCCCAACCACCTGAGCCCACTTAGCCATCTTCTGTAACCATAAGCCATGACTTGTGTGGTCCATGCTTTAAGTAATATTTGAGCTAACCTTGTGAACCTAGCCCATGCCAAGCCCACTAATCTGCACCCACATATAAATGTCTCAAAGTGCACGACATCCGAATCGAGTGCTGTCTGTGCCAACCATCTTCTATAGACTCAAGGTACCTCTCATAAAGATCCCGAGCCAAAACTCTAAGCTTCACTTTTTCGCCATATTTATAAAAATGCCACTGGGCACCCCCAGTGCACGCTGACAGCATCCCATAACTGTCAGGAGGCTTGTTAAGGTCCTAATCCCATAACACTAATCCACATGAGGTTGAAATTCGCACGGTCGCTTTCGTTTAACCAAATCGGTCATTGGCGTACTGACTAGGAATATTGAAACGACGTCGCTTTGTACGTAATTGGGTCTTCTCCCCCAACCGGGTCATCTTCTTCGGTCTTCTCCCCGTCCCAATCTCTCTTTAAACGACAGAATCGCCACCGCCGCCACCAAAATCGACAACCTAGCCGCGAAGGTCGATCTAGCGTATCTGGTAGCTCCGCGCCACCACCAAACGCTCTTCCTCAGGTTAAGTCTCTCTCGTTTGTTGTGCAGAGAAAACCCAAAACATCTCTCCACAAAGAGACCAGTCGCTTTTGCCTCTCCATTTTCTCTCCTCAGTTATTCTCTGCTTCTCTCTCTTCCAGAATTGTTTCGTTTCATTCTGCGATTTTCAGCTCTCGTCCCTTTTCTAGGACTTCTGGTCAATCTTAAAGCAAAAGAAAAGGAATTCACACAGTAGGTACGAATCATTCTTGCAATGATTTACTGGTTGTTCAATTGAATTTTTAACTGTTTGTTTTGAGTGAGGATAATCATTTTGAAATGCTTTACTGGTTCAAATTAATTTTTTAATTTTTCTCTTAATGAAGGTTTTAATTCTGGATCTAAATTTCTTTTCTTGATAGGTCTTGTTATTTTCCTTAAATTTAAACAATTTAGGGTTTAGGGGGTTAGGCAAGTTAACTAATTCGGTCAGTTAATATATTGCTTTAGGGGATAAAAAGCTGTTGTTTAGGCGAGGGATTGGACTGTGTTATGTCAGGTGCTTCTTGGAGCTAATCATTGGAGTATAAACTCAAAGGGTTGGGAGATAAAGGTGGTGCTCTGTGGGTTCTTTTGGTCACTGAGAAGGTTAGTTTTTGAGGCTTTGTTATAAACTTTTTATGTTTTTGGTTAATCTGAATTGTTGCATCTGAGTGTATGGATTGTGTTTGACAATTAAGAGTGAGGAAAGTGAGGCAAACTGTTGGCAGTTGAGTGTAATTTTATGTCTCTTTTTTGATATAAATGCTTCGATATAAATGCTGTGTTCATTTTTTCATTCTCCAGAGGAGGGGTTTTTGATTGATTTTATGGGTTATAAATGAACCGCCGAACTGATCATTGATTTTATGGTTTTATATATGCTGGACAATGATGCATTTGGTTAATTCTCTTTTTTCTTTGTTTGGTTCTGGAGGCTGGGGCCAAGCTAGGTTGTGCCCAGCGAAGTGCAGACAGGCCGATTTACATGGTCTATGTCTTCTAAATGAGGTGGAAGAAGAGGTGGTCACCTTGTGCGTGGGGAGAGCTAATCAATTGAGGTTGAAAGAAGGCTCGGCTCCAGCCTAGTTGACTGAGTTGCGGCTGCGCAGTGAGTTGGTGGGGATGAAGGATGCTCTTCACGGGGATGGAGAGATATCTGATGGTGGGTAAAGTACATCCATGGACTGGAGATTGTCCTAGTTTGTAGGGATGATGGGGAGGGGTTGCCAGTTGATCCTTTTAATTGTATTGTGGATGATGTTGTTTGAGAGGAAGTCCACGAAGATTTTGGTGATGGGTTGGGGCTGTAGAAACCTTTGTCTGTTATGAATCCTGAAGGGAGAGGTACAACATGCTTGTTATGGCGGGAGATGAGAGGTGGGAGAATTGCATAATGGATAATATAGGTGAGCAAGTGTTTGGGGTTAACGTATGAAGGGAATGAAGGGAAGACTATGGAGTTATTCCAATCTATCAATAAGGAGTGGAAGATGGCTGGAAGAAAGAGGAATTCCTCTTGGGGGTATTCTGGACATGTGGGATAGGAGGTGGGATTGAAGGTGGGCGTGTAGAATGGAATATTTTTCATCTCAAGTGTTCTCTATGGAGAAGGATGGATTTCATTGGGTGTTCTCGGCAGCCTTATTGAGGATGCAAAGAGGGATTCATTTTTTCAATTTTTTTTTTTTTTTTTTGTGGGAGGAGCTTGGCTATGCTCGGAGGAGATGGAACATCCCCTGGTGTGTGGGATGGGATTTTTAGTGTGGTTAGATCCCTGTCTAAGACATATACTGGAGGGAGGTTGTCGCCGACTATGGAGATGTTTTTCAAGTTCATTGAAGCCCTACAACTCATTGATTTGCCGATAAAGGGTGCTTTCTTTACATGGTCTAGTTGCAGATAGTGTCCTACACTATCTTGTTTGGACAGATTCTTGATTTTCAGAAATTGGGTGGAGAAATTTCCAAATATTTTAGATCATAATCCATTGCTTTTGGGTTATGGAAGATTAATTAAGGAGGAAGAAAATTTTGTTCAAGTTTGAGAACATGTGGCTTTGTGCGGAGGATTGCAAGGGGAGATTAAGGTACCGCTGGGGTGGATATACAATGGTGCATGGTGGTCCCAGCTTTGTTCTAATTAGCAAGCTTTGTTTATTGAAGGAGGACATGAAGAAGTGGTATAGGGAGCTGTTAAGGAATTGGAAGTGGAGAAAGAATAGAATCATGTTAGAATTTTACCGGCTTAGAAGTTAGAATGCAAGGAGGGGATTCTAGGCTTAGATGATGTGGATAGGTGTGTGAGGAAACTGTGTTAGGCGGAGATTAGGAGATTGCTACTTTGGAGGAGATTTCATGGCGGTCTATTCTAGGGCTTTGTGGATTAAGGAGGGTAATCATATTAAGAGGATGCAAATTTACGGGGACATTGAGTGAGGAGGAGAACGTTAACTGGGGGATTGCTCTGTTTTATTAGCATTTAATTCTAGTCTGGACTCAAAAATTAGAAAAATGATCAAACTGTTCTCAACAAATTTTTATGTTGACATATCTAGTCCCCTATTTTTTTAGCATGTTCCTTTTCTAGCTTTGAAAAGGGTTTAGAAAAAGTTCCAACTTAGAAACTAAGGGCCCGCTTGGATCAGTTTTTAGTTGTTGAGGACGACGTTAGTTGGGGGATTGCTTTGTTTGATCAAAATTTATATACAGAAGCATCTGTTGGGTGCCAAATGATTCTAGTTTGGACTCGAAAAATAGAAAAATGACCAAGCTGTGTTCAACTTAACTTTTATGTTGACACATCTAGTTCCCTATTTTTAGCATGTTCCTTTTTCAGCTATGAAAGGGTCTTGAAAAAGTTCCAACTCAGAAAATCAGAGTAGAAAATGGTTTCTTTAGTGTGAAAATTCGCTTGGTTGGAAAAACTACAAAACAGTTTTGAGAGAACAAAAACTCAGAAATCCATTTGGTTGTATTTATTGAAAATAGTTTTTGGAACTACGAAAAGAAAGAAAATTGTTTGGCATGATTGGAAGAAAATTGTTTTTAGAATTATCAATAACTCAGAAATCCATTTATTTTTTTCTGAAAGATTAGAAGACCTATTTATTCATACATTGTATCCATACCAAAATAAAATTTATCTATAAAAGAAATTGAATCTAATATCCTTATATTCAAATATATTGTATATAAATCACATCAATTGTGCTAAAATATAGATATTATAAGTTCATTGTTACATACAATTAAAGTATTCATTCGTTTTTGTAAAAAGAAAAGGATAAAATATTGCATGACCATTGCTTAGTAATCTTACAATTGCTTCTCTCTATGTAAAGCTTGCAAAAAAAGAAAAAGAAAAAAGAAAAAATGTATAAAGCACAAGCATTTTTTTGATCATTGATGGATTAAAGGCCAAGGCTCCTCCACATAGAAGCTGTAGAATATCAAATGGTTGAATAAAACATGAGTTGCATTGAAAACCTACAATATGCTGCCAAAAGATGAGAACAATATGACCCTTTAGCCATTTTTTACGAGGATGTATTAGAAAGAAGCAGCTCGATGCAACCCACATTGAGATGTCAAAGGTTTTCCAAACAAAATTATAGGCTTCATAATATCTAAAGCAGAAGCAATAACCTTTTTATAATCAGCCTACCCAATGTATAAGGACTTGAACATTACTATTAAAACCTCAAAACTACGAAATATAAGGCTAAAACCCTAAAATTTAAAAATAAAAAATAAAATAACAGATCATCACACAGTCTTGATTCTCTTGACTTGCCCTGGTTTCTTGTCCTAAATTAATAGGTGACCTTAGGTCCTTAGGCCTGCCTTTAGATATGACCACCTCACAAGACCATTATCATGGAATTTTTTTTCCTTTTAACATTTGTACAAACACTTACCTAACTAAAGATCATGAAAATTTAGATATGGTCACCTCACAAGACCATTGTCCTAATAATATTAGTAATCACCAAAAATGCTTAAGTAGGCCAAAGTTATTTACTGAAGAAAATTATAAAGAGTTCCCATCTTTTGTAAGGTCCATTGTAGTGATGGAAGAATACAACAAAGCAAGATCTATTATCATGATAGCGGATGGCTACTATTAAAATTGAATATTGATTCAAGCAGTATCTCAAGGTGGACGATCGGACATATAATGTTTTGGCAAGGGAAAAAATCCAGACTGTTGTAACAAGAAAAGAGTTATAACTTATAACTTGCACAATGCAAAAGGATGAACATAACCCTTCGATCATCATATAGAAGAATTTTGAACAAAATTTTCCATTATAAAGCACTTCATTCAAGTCATTAATGCAAATCATTTATGATTACCTGAAGCGCTTCTTCATGAACTCCATTCTCAGTTGAAAATGAGAGTGCAAGCTGTAGTTGAGGCAAGAGAAATCATTTAACAGAGAACTTCAACTAGACAAGAGAAGCCGTTCAACAGGTTGAGGAAGAGAGAGATTAATGGTGAATGTGCGGCTGAGAGATGTGATAAGGTAAAGGAAAATTTTAAACGAGGATGAAGTAAGGTCATTTTAAAGTGGCCTGTAGTTCTCCGTGTTTCTTAGTTTTGAAAACTCCTTCCAAAAACTAAGAGCTCTCTCCAAAAACCATCACTTGTGTAACTCACTTTTTTAAAAACTATTCTTCAAAAACAGATCCAAGCAGGTTAAAAAAAATGTTTTTTGTTTTTTATCATTTAGGAAACAGAAATGTTCTTATCAAAAAAAAGAAAAAGAAAAAGAAAAAGAAAATGAAAAAAAAAAAAAAAAACACAGAACTTTTCTTGTAAGTGGCTGGGCAGTTGTCATCCGACCCAAAAGCTTAAACTATTAGGTGGAGCTGCCTATCCGCCCCTATAAGTCCAAGATCCTCCCCATCTGGAACAAATGCGAGACAAGAACCCATACCATTCTCCCCTACCTGAACTCGCAATGCCCTTGTTGCGGTCGGACCATCCTGCCTGCTTGCCCACCTTAATGGCAGGAGGATCCGATAATGACCGTGACACAAACCCGACCCTCTGTGTGGACGCTTGGCGTTACACCAAATCAAGGACTGGGATTGCTCTGATACCACTTGTAATGAGCTAGGCGTTTGCCATCCGATCCAAAAGCTTAAGCTATTTGGTGGAGCTTCCTACCCGCCCTTACAAACTCAACATCCTCCCATTCGGATCCAATGTGAGACAAGAAACCATAACATTAAACAATTTTTTGTTTTCTCAGTGACAAAAAGCCATTTTTTGTTTTTGACCTAAGTGATGGTTTTTAGAGAACTACTAAATGGACTTCTCTGAGTTTTTGGAAAGAGTTTTCAAAATAAAGAAAACACGGAAAGCTACAACTCACTTAAAAGATGACACTACTTCATTCTCGTTTAAAATTCTACTTTACGTTATCTCTTCTCTTTGCTGCACATTCTCCAATGAAGAAATCCAGATTCATCTTGACTTTATAAAAGCATCGAGTGGCGCTGGATCATGAGAAGTTCCAGTCTTTCTCCATCTCCATCACCATCAACACCAACATCATCGTAAGGTGTCGTTTCCTGTAAAAAAGAAAGAGTAACCGGAGAAAAGCACCAATGTGGTACTGGCCGGAGGGACTTTGACGATCAAGTTAGTACTAGATTGGAAAGGGAAAGAAGAAAAGACTTCTTGGAAAATTTTGTCATACCTTAGCAGGTTGACCGACTCCTACTTTTATAGGGGGTGTAGGCAGTAGCGTCCACCCAGGGAACTAATTCCCTTGACTTCTCCATCACTAAGTGGGAGAGTCATCAGAAAGGGTCGTCGCCTTGAGATTTCCTATCAGTTTAAATCTTCCTTGTCACATAGTATACAACAACAAAAACAACAAAGCAAGCCTTTTCTCAACTTATTAGGATGCAGTTACATAATTTTTTTTTTTATTTATTATTATTATTTTTTTTCTATTTAAGTCGATACTCTTAGTCAAACCAGATGTTACCATATCCTTCCTTATTAATTCATGTTAATTTTGGTGTTCATTACCCTTAATGTGGATCATTTTGCTTTTCCTAATTGGTGCACTCAATGCTGCTGCGTTCTGTCTGCATCTGCTGAACATCTTCCATTTGCTCTCCAGTGAATCACAAAACTAGACGGTAACCTCTTTTGTTCAATTACTATGTTTTCTCTGCATCTGATGGTTGGTTTAGGGAAGATGTTCATTTACCTCTCCCTACAATGATTTCAGATAGGTCCTACTTATTTGGGAGCCCACATGAATGAGATTCACATGGATGAACAGCTGTATTTGGTTCCATTTAGCTTTTTAAAATTTGGAGGGGAAAGATCTCAAAATCTTATTCCCATGTTCAATGAAGGCAAATATTTCATACAATATATATGGCAAGAATTAATTGTGAAGTATACTGTTATTTTATAATACCCACAACTGCTGAAAAGAAGAAATCAAGGAAGGTTCTTATTCCTTTTGTTGATTGTCAATGGTAGGAGTGAATAAATCTATTGAGCTGTTGCCCTCTTCCTACAGCATTTTCAGTCCGATTCTATTTCATTGTTCATCTGTCAGAAGAGGCTAAACCTATAATATAATTCAAACTGTAGATTCTATATATCGGCATCTGATGTTTGCTGATTCAAACTTATTTGTGCTTGATTTAACTTTAAAAAGACTATAATTTGATGGTGTTTCTAATATTTTGTAGCTATTGTTTGTAGGTTTAACGATATGAATTGGATTCAACGCAAGATCTACCTTTACAATGTCACCTTTGGACTCTACATGTTGGATTGGTGGGAGCGTTACCTTTTCAGTATCCTTTTTGTATGTTCTTTTGATGAATTGATCCATTTGATATGTGTTTGTTTTGTTCCAGGATTGCAATCTCGCTCTCTCTCTCTCTCTCTATCTATCTATATGCACATTTGGACTGCACCTAAAACTCTGAAATTATTGATATTCCAAATGATAAAATTAATGAATGCCTTCCTGGTTCCTTTCCATAATCAGTGTTTCTGTTATTGACTTTGTTCTGCTTTTATTGAAATTTGGGATCACTAGTTCAGTGGTTTTGGATCAGTTCATCATCAAGTATACAAGAATGGATTTGAAATTGAGTCTTCTAATTCAAGATTTAGGACATTTTGCGAATCATGCACCTCAGTGATCTGGATTTTTCTTTTTCGTCCTTTCCGCTTTTCTTTTCTTTTTCTTTTGTTGTTGTTGCTAATTTTGGTTTCTTAATTACAATGTAGATACAATGTCACTAAAATAAATAAAAAGCACTGAACTTGAAATTCAAGGACACATTACATAAATCTAAATAGTTACTGTTTATGGAGCGTCATTGATTCAGAGTTAAGAGAAATATTTCATTGTACACTGGTTTAAGTTTTTGCACGAAACTGAAAGAGATTTGGAGTCATTGGGGTGCGAATCTATAGCTTGCCAACAAAAAAATAGAAGAACCTTGGAGGAACTTGTTGATTTTTTGGACTCTTTGAGGGTCTAAAGGCCCTATTTGGCCTTGGCTTTTGAGGGATTTGAACACTTTTAATACAATTCTTACTTATTTATTTATATTTTTTTTGATAAGTAAATACAATTCTTACTTGTAAAAAAAAAAAAAAAAAATGCAATGCAATTGTTTTGTAGGTTCTGATGTGATTGCTGATCTGAGTTCCTTAATGCCGTTAGATATTTTGGTACTTGTGTTGATGTGGTTTATTTTCTACAATGGGTTCCAATATGCGACTGAGTTCTGCAAAAGGTAGCATCACTACTGTTATTCCTGGTTTCATTTTATTGAAGTAATTCTGCTCATGTTAATTTACTATCTTAGAGGCTAGAGCATGGTCTTTATATTATATACAGTGAACATGGAAAAAATGGCTTTGCTCATTCAGAGTATGTTTTTTATTTTGATATATATATATATATATATATATATATATATATGCTTTATACACGTGCAACAACAACCAAGCCTTTTCCCAATTACCTGGGGTAGGCTACATGAATCCTATGTTTTCTTTCCGCTCTATTTGAGGCCATAGCCTTAGTCAATCCACATGCTATCATATCTTTCTTTACTAACTCTACCTACGTTAGCTTTGGTCCTCTTCCCCTAGTTTTACCCTCAATGTGGACTATGTCACTTTTCCTAACTAGCGCACTACAAAGTCTTCTTTGCACATGTCTAAAACCATCTTAATCAATGTTCTCCAGTTTTATCTACAATTGGTGCTACTCCAACCATCTCCAAGATGCAATCATTTCTAATTGTATCCTTTCTAATCTTATGCTTACCACACATCCATCTCAATATTCGCATTTCTGCCATGCCCACTTTATGCAAATGTTGTTTCTTAGCTGCCCAACATTGGGTACCATAAAGTATGGTTGGTCTAATAGCTATTTGATAGAACTCCCCTTTCAATCGTAAGGGATACGCCTATCACACAATATACTAGTTGCACTTCTCCATTTAACCCATCCCGCCTTAATATTTTTTCTATGATTAATGTCATCTCCAATTTCTCCCTCATCATGAATAATTGAGCCTAAATAACGAAAATGTTCACTTTTTTTACCTCTTGGTTCTCAATCCTCACTACATCCTCATTTATCTTTCTGGATTTACTGATATAGCACTATATATTAAGTTTTATTTCGACTAACCATAAATCGTTTTAGTTCTAAAGCTTCTCTCCAAACCTCCAGTGCTCTTTATAAATGTACGGTTATAAAATATTCCTGCTTCGGCTTATCATATCGAGCTTAAGATTCCTATTGGAAAATAAAAAATTTTCATTTCAAAATATCTAATGATTGGGATGCTGCATGGTGATTAGTAAAGGAAGTATGAAAGGAATGAAAGAGAAGAGAATGATAATGAAAACTAACATAAACAAGCTTAAGGGATTCATACTGGAAATTCACAATGGAAAATCTTATTATAATTCCTAATACCATCGCCATTCAGAAAGTATTTTTGCACGTAGGGAAATGTTGTTTCTTAAAAGCAACCATGGGATCCAGTGTCTATTATTGGCTGCTGGCATTTGTGTGCCTGCGAAGATAAATTTAAGGGATAAATCTGACTCAACCTTAGTGACCTCTTTTGCAGTTTTCTTATGATTTCCCATGTAAAATATGATAAAATGGATATTTTTTTTGCTGAATTTTCCCCATTCACCAGAATTATTTAGATTGTTTCAATTAAGTTATTTGCTTTTTTTGACAATGATTCTATTGTTGACGTTGCAAGTAGTTTTTAAAAGGATCTGGATGCAGAAATTTCATTTCGAATGGTTAAGAGCTCTTCTAATAGTCATGTGGATTGTGGAAGTATTCAATGGGGATCATGAAATTTTGGCCTAAAATTTTAATTTCGTACCTTCTCTATTGTTTTTTATTAGTTGGTTGTGCGTCTCTGTTTTGCAAAATGTTTGAACCAAAATCTAACGAGAATTTAGTTTATTAAGACAACTTTGGATCACTTATATTTGTGCATTGCTGTTACTTCAAAATGTTACACCAATTATATGAGTAAGCATCTATGAGCTTTGACCACTACACATTTGGGTGATTTGGAAAAAGTCATGTCAGACTCACAGGTCCCACAGAATGAGACCTTGACATGGATTGTAGTAAAATTTGCAATGATGTTCATGTCATTATGTGACTCTATAACCTAAGGATTGGATTTTCATATTGACTGGGCTAGAAGAAAAATGGAATTAGACAATCGCTGCCTTATGATACTTGGGAAACATCTGTTTCACTATTAGACTTCTCAAGATCACCCGAATTTATTCTTTCTAATAATAATTGAAACAGATATAAACCCAATTTGAGGTTACAGGTAAGGTTATCATAGGCTTTACTTGCTGCAGTTTCCGAAACTGAAAGTCCTTTTTGGGGATGGACTTTGCTGGATACACTGTTCCAGAAAAAAATTGAAGAAAAATAATGTTTGGTGCACACATGTTTTGGAAGTCTTTTTTCAAAATCAAAGGATACTTTCATTGACACGAACAGTTTATTATGAGTTACGGACCCATAAATTTTCTTGAGGGGGCGCCATTGAAGATTATAAGATAAAAAAAATTTTAAGATAATTTTTTTAACACAAAATAATAAATATAAAAAATTAAATTTTGATTGATAATATTTTCATTTGTGATTTTTATTTTTTTTTCATAAATTTTTCATTTGTGAATTTACAATTGTTATCAATGAACTTTTATATCAAGCAAGATTTTCATACAAAATTGAAGAGAAAAATTATGTATATTTATGTAACACAATTTTGCAAATAAAGCAAATTCAAATGTGTGCTTGTATTCTAGTGTTATCTCATTTTCTCTTACCGTTTAGTGTAGAGAATTTTCTAACAAGTCAAATTAGTTAAGACTCAACAAACCTAGGAAGTCTTTGCATGCAAAAATTTAAAAGTTAATGAATGAAACTTATTTTTGTATTGGAAACTTGTGAACTATTTCCAGTCAGGTCTCCAAATTTAAAATTAATCTATAGTTAGGTTAAATCAAATAAATAAGGAATTGTGTGCTTTAAAGTATGAGTCTTCCCATTTTTATAATGGGTGTATGTACATTATTTCCATGTATCATATACAATAAATGAATCTAAAGAGAAGTAGACAATTTTTTATATAGGTTCCTTTTTCCGTATCTTCTTAGAGATTGTGATTTTTTGTTCAAGAATAGTTGTTGATATAGAGTCTAATGATTAGGAGAGAAAGAAAGAATAAAATCAAGGTTAAAATTATCAGTATGAGACAATTTTAGAATTTATAAAATTCTATATATGCAGAATAAAAATATAAAATTTTGAAGGGGGTAGTTTTTAAAATCTATATATACGTAAGGAAAATATAAAACGATTTTTTGTCATATCCAAAAATAACAGTGGGGGCAGATTTATATATTGGAATATTTTCATAATTTTAATGGGGGCACTTTCAAAATATTACATAATTTGTAGGCATATAATATAAATAAAAAATTTCTCCACTGTACTGTTTGTAGATCCGTCCCTGTTTATTCTTTTTGCTCACAAGACACTTCATTATTAGTCAAAACGAAACCTTTTCCGAAATTTAATTTATTATCTATGGCTTCAGTATCAGTTTCCAAATCAATAAAATTTTCGAACTATTTTTTTTTTTTTCAAAAAATATTTTATTTTTCTGTGCTTTCTGCCCATTGATATTTTTATACTTCCACATGCCGTTGGACCAATTGAAACCTAAAATTCATTATTAGTCAAAACGAAACCTTTTCCGAAATTTAATTTATTATCTATGGCTTCAGTATTAGTTTCCAAATCAACAAAATTTTCAAACTATTTTTTTTTTTTTCAAAAAATATTTTATTTTTCTGTGCTTTCTGCCCATTGATATTTTTATACTTCCACATGCCGTTGGACCAATTGAAACCTAAAAGACATTAGTATTGGTTGAAGACTTGAATAGAAAAATTATTTACTTTGAAACTCTTAAAAGAACAGGAAAATGGACCTTGGATCAACCAGAGAGTGGGAAGAGAAAAAATTCCATTGAGAGAGAAAGGGAGCTTATTCCTATAAAATAAAGTCAATGGAAGGTTTTGTAAAGGAAAATACATCCTATACAGTGTTGTTAAAGGCTAAAGGCGAGCCTAGGCTCAAGGCACAGGTCTAGCACTTGTTGTCATCTCAGGCTCATTGATGTTTACTAGGTGCGTGCCTCGGTTGTGCCTCGTCCTGTTTGTCAGTTGCGCCTATGCGCGCCCCACTGATTTTAAAAAAAAACTTTGATATTCTATTTCTTAAGTCAAAAAGGGTACTTTTGGCAACTTAATAAACAAATAAGAAAGCCCGAGCGTAGGAGAGAAGAAAATTTTGTTCGAAAGAATAAACAAATAAGAAAGCCTAAGAGTCAAAGTGTCAACCGAACAGAGAAAGAGTGAGATCGTGAGACGAACAACGAAGCCCTAGTTACAGAGATGAATGACGAGGCTACGTCAGTTCTTTCTTCTTCTCCTCTCTTCTCTACTTCTGCCTCCTCTCTTCTCCTCTACTCCTCTCTTCTCCTCTACTCCTCTCTTCTTATCTTTGTTTACATCTCTCTCTTCGTCTAGTTCTCCTCTCTCATTCATTTTTTTTTGGGGGCTCTGTTTTTTCTCCTTTATTTCTTTAACACTTTCTCCCTCTTCTCGTCTACTTCTCTGTCTTCATCTACTTCTTCTGTCTCTGCATCTTTTCTTTTTGGCTTTGTTTTTTCTTTTCTTTTCTTGTTAACAGGTTTTTATGTATTTATTTATTTATTTCTTTTTGTGCTCTGTTTTGCCATTCAAAAGAACAAATTCTGCTTTGCCTTTCAAGAAAACAAATTTCTGCTCTGTATTATGGTTGTTGGATGCTTGTTTAGTTGACAGATTTACATTTTTATATTTGATATTAATTTTAGAATATTGATATGACTTATGGGATTTGAATGTTTTTATGGTAGTTTAAATTTTCAATTGTACGCCTCACTTCACTCAGGCGCGCGCCTTGCGTCTTGGTGCGCCTTGGGCCTTTAATAACACTGATCCTATAAGACGAGAAGAGTGCTATACATTTGTTGGCTTAGCTTAAAGGTGCTCTTCGATGTCTTACACAAGTGGCATGAATCATGAGAAAACAATTGAGTAGTTACCAGGAGTGTCAGAATTTTTTTGGTTTAATGTGAGTTGCCACATTAGCTGCCTGTTCTCTTATGTTTGTCAGCATTCTTGTTGTGTCCAGTGGATTTTTTGCCAGTATAAAGATCTGATACAGGAGCAACATAAAACATGTTACATTGTTTCTAATATGGCAAGAGCACAAGCCAGCTAGAGAATATGATCAAATTATAGCCTGTCATCAACATCAAGTAAACGTTAAGTTTGGCATTTTCCCTTTGTTTGGTTAGGGTAAATGTTTAGTTATGTTCCGTATCATTAATTATTGATTCATCATGAAATGATTTTAGCATTGAGCTTGTAGGCAAGAATTTATGATCTGTTTAGAGTTCACTTCAGGAGTTAGTTAGCCAGGCACTGTTAGTTATGCTTTCTGAGAGTGCTTTTAAGAAGCAAAAAGGGTCCTTAGTTCTTAATGTTGTGTTTCTATTTTTTCATTTCTCCTCTTTGGCACTTGGTTAGCTCTTCGATACAAAACTAATAATAGCAAATATGTGAATTGTCATATGAGAAATATAATTCTTTTATATATTTTTTTTCTGTTTTGTTCTGATTTTTAGTTGATTAAGTTGTACTTTTTTTTCTATTCATTTTTCATTTCAGACCTGTAAAAAATGAAGTACACAAGGGAACACTGTTGGAAATTGATTTATATTATTCTGGTTGCTATCGCATGTGAAAACCTGATCCATCCTTCAAATCAAAATCTTTTTTGGAGATCAATCAAAATGAAGGAGTCATAAAAAATGATTTATAGAGAATGTGAAGGAAAATTGTTGGTAAGAGTCTTTGAACAGTGAACGAAACTGGAAATGCAAACAGAGTTATAGACTGTGAGGTTAAACTTTTCAGAATGTGTCTTTAGGACGTATTCAGTTAGAAGTTTGATTTATTAGTCTCTCTGCAACTGTATTTTATTTTGACAACTGCTCCTCTTTTTACTCGATCTTTTCTAGAAATCACAAAGAATATCTTATACTCATTGTGAGATAAATTCATTCCAAATATATGCAAAATAAGGTTTTTTTTTTTTTTTTTTTTTGGGTGCAATTTGGACTTCATTTATGTGATCTACAAAAAAATTTCTTTTGATTTATTTTTGTTCATGGCAAATCACTTGGTTGGGAGCCATGATCACCTTCATAGTCATCTTCTATATCTGTGTATATATTTTAGATAACTATTTATTTTTGCTTTGACAATTTTTTAAATGATTTTAGTGTGTAACCAGTGACAAGCGTGAAGTTGAATTCAATGGGTAGTTGGGACCTACCCGATAAAAAAAGAGTTAGGATACTGATAATGTTGGCTCTCTCTCTCTCTCTCTCTCTCTCTCTCTCTCTCTCTCTCTCTCTCCACGACTTGTACGCAATTGTGCAATATATGTTTGTTAACTATGTCGGCAACTATTGTGGGCTGCTCTGTCTCCCTTGAATAAGAAAAGCATGCTTGGTTTAAAGGCACATAAATGAGCTTTATTTTTAAATTCGCACCACAAATTCAGTACCATATTGCTTCTTGATGTGTGGCCTTATAGCTAGTATCATATTCTAATTATTTAAGTGTTCTTTTTTTTTTTTGGCCAATTTCATTTTTTCAGGCATCTATGGTGAAGCTCAGGTGTAAAATGAACTAGCAAATATCAAAATGGGTGGTGGTAGTGCACAGTGTTGCCGATTGTGCTGTGTTTTTAAATTTAAATGGGAATTTCCCAACTTTACTGAACATTTGAGCATGCCATGCAAGTATATTGTTACCCAGATGTAAACGTAGTATAATGGCGGAATTGTTTTCCTATATGTTGCTATTTATCGTGTGTTTTTGTATACTTTTTTTTTTTCCTAGTTGGTATTCGCACACACGCACGTTTTTTTTTTTAGACTTGAACCCCTAACCTCTTTTTGGAAAGTAAGTGGTTGATTGTATACTTTTATATTGTACCCCAAAATTTTTTGAGAGGAATTTGATTGCTTTAGCAGTGTCAACTAAAGGATGCCCTTAATTTTTTAGATAGGAGCATTAGCTTGGAATTATGTTTAAATTGATGGTGTACTTGCAACCCTTTGTAAGAGGGCACCTTCTTCATGGCTTCTTGCAATGGCAGACGTGCCAGCTTCCTAGGACTCAGCTTGAAGTAAGATGGGGGGATCCACAGATGAAATAGCATGATACTCTCTGGTTCTAAGGCTTTGTTTGGATGGGATGATTTAGAGGGATAAGGAAGAAATGATAAGTAGAATTGTGTTTGGATGGTTTTAGGAGAGAAAAGAAAGGGTAGAGAGGGATTTGGAGGGATAGCTATCCCTTCCTCCTTATTTCTCAAATGATATCCTTCCAAAAAGAGAAGATGGGGAGGGAAATGATAGTGGGTTAAGTAGTATTTTTAAAATTTTAAAATTGCCCTCAGTAATTACAAGGAGGAGATTATTATTTCACTCATGTCTGATCTAATTAAAAGGGTATGATAATAATTTGGTTGTTATAATTTTTTTTATTCTCTTCTCTATCTTATTCAAACAAGAATACTATCATTTTTTTATTTTATAATTTTTTCTCTCTCCGCCAAGCTCTACAAAAGTTCTTTTTTTTGTTTTGCAACTGTTGTATAAGGACAAGGTATCCACTAGGGATAAGTTCTGACAGTGGGTGTTGATTTAGCAGTTTTGTGTTTTATGCAAAGAATTTGTAGAACATCTCATTTTGAGCTCACTCTGGAATTCCTATAATCTGTCAATTATATCGTAGATGTTGGACAATTATTTTTAGTTTTGGGGTCTAAATATTTTTGCCGGAATGGCCCCCCAAATCCTTAAACTGAAGCTAAGGTATCGCTCTCACGCTCTAAGTGCTCTTGCTTATATTTTCACTATTTGTGACTCAATTTTGTCGCTTTCACGTTTTCGCTCTCCTTGTACCAGTCGGTCTCTTCACGCACCATTGACATATGGATCCTCTGAGAGCATAATTTTTTTTATGTTAAGAAAGCTACAATTTAGACTTGAAGGGCTACTCTCATTTTTGGATTGCTGATCACTCATATTGACATATTTCTAAGCCTCGTCCTCTTCACTTGACCATTGTGCATAAACAATACTCGGTTTCTCAAGTTCCTTACACAACTCTTTGGTTATTCTTTTGATGCCAATTGATAATTCAATGTAAGTACTTTGACAATTGCTTTAAAGAAATAAATAAGCACACAAGCTTGGTTCATATCAAATACTGTATTAAACATCTATATCATCGTTATCATTCATTCAATCATGCTTGTTAAGATAAATTCCAATATTTAAAGCAATTTAAACGTGCGAGATAAACAAAATAAAGTGTAGAGGCACATTATATTTTTTCATGGAAAATCTCCATAGTCTCGTAGAATAATCCGCTATGAAGAAAAAAACCTTTTTGATCTCTTGAAGAAATAAGTTATCAAACCTTCGGTCCTTCCAAAATTCCCTTTTAAACTGCTTCTTCAACTTGTATTATTTTTCGCACTCAACTTGTCCACCTTTTATGATCGGGATCAACATGTCTAATGCATATAATACCCATTGATAAAAATGAAACCGTGCGCACTCTCTAATCTCATAAGAAGAACACTAACAAATGTATTGTGAAGAACATGGGTTTTTTTTTTTTGTCTCACATGTGTGTGTGCTGTCAGAGTAGATGATAATTAATATGATATTAAAATTAAAGGCCATGTAAACACCCATTTGTACCCAACAGGCTTTACACCCAATAGAATTTTGGTGAGATGTGCTTAATCCTGTCACTTTTGATATAACCCCTCCTCCATTTGTGCAACGCATGCAATATTATCTTCATATACTATTGATGGGTTATCATTTATTGATGAGAGACCACGTGTTGTTTAAATATGTTAGATCATGGATCTCAACCAAATGCATTTCCTACTTGCCTCACGAATTACGAGTATCTCTAAATTATTTGAAAAAACTATAGTCATTGTTTGGTTCATAGATCGACGTGATACAACAGTGCCGCCACAAGTAAACACATACATTGTCTGTGAATGAGCTTTATATGGGTTAGAGAGATAGCCGGCATCTGCATATCTAATTAATCGGGAGCCTGATCCAATTGAATAAAATAATCACATATCAATTGTACCACGAAGATATCGCAATATATGCTTAATTCCATTCCAATGTCTTCGAGTTGATGTAGAATTGTATCTTGTTAATAAGTTGACTGAAAAAGTAATATCAGGTCTGTGCAATTTGTAAAATACATAAGAGCATCGACTGCACTAAGATATGGCATTTCAGGACCAAGAATTTCTTCATCATCCTCGTGAGGATGAAAATGATCTTTTATTTATATTAAGTGATCGGACAATCATTGGGGAGCTCAATGGATGGGCTTTATCCATATAGAATCGTTTCAGTATGTGGATTGGGGGATGAGGGTTCCACTTCATAAGTGTTCAATCTACAGGTTAAGACAAAAAAATAAATTTCTTCTGAGATATTTGCTTTCGAATTCTTTCTTTAAATAAGTAGCAGTTTTATGAGTTCTTTTAGGAATTCCCACAATATTCTGTTGGGATCATATACCCCTACAAGCCAATTATTTATTATTAATTCGATATTTTATTAAAAAATGTGATATTCATGCATTGGGCTTTACATATATTTGCATGAGATGCATTATTGTCCTAAAGTTGCATTATAGGTGACTTAAGTGTATGAATGAGATTTACACGTAGGAGATTTGGGCTCACCGGTTTCTTGTACCTTGGCATTGTTCGCAATCAGTGATAAAAGTTGAACACTTTTATCTGTAAGACTGTAACACACTTGACCTCTATAAGATATGATGGTTTGTCTCGACCATTGGGATAGTTGACTCTAGGCAGTGTGTTAGTGTGCTTGGAGTACACTGAACTGTATCACCATAAGATCACACCATATAATTTATTGTCATGATTTTGGTGTGTTTCTTATCTACTAAATTCATAGGCTCTAAATTCTAAGAAATTTAGTGAACTCAAGTTTCAATACTAGTCACTTTGACTTACCAATGTGTGAAATCTTTTAAGGTCAATACCATGGTATCTTGGGTGGCTAATGTTGGAGCTCTGAGAACACAAATGCTTAACATGGAATCCACACTCTTTATAAGAATTACAATATCCCCTTGATGCAATTTAATAAGTTGATCGCTGGAACTTGGCCAAGGCATTTTAGTAAAATGTTTACTAAATTATTTTTCTAATATTTATTTTGAAAAAAATCTTTTTTATAAAAGAATTTAATTAAATGATCTTAAGGATTAAATTAGTCTCAAGGAATATAAGAAGTAAGCATGTCTTAGGTGGTACAATATTTATTTTCCTTGGGGTTATTATGGATATTCGGTAGTGGAGGGGCTTATATGTAATTGTTTAGTAAGATAGGGCCTAGTTGTAATTTCTAAATCCTAGAGTGCAATTACAATACTATTGTGGTGCTTATTGTAATTAATTTGATAGGATAGATAACTCTATCTCTATCTAATTAAAGCTCGGATCAGGTTGATTATTTCGGTTTTTCACGCAAAAACCTAAGAATAATCTAGAGCGAGCGATACAGGGTTTCCACAAACCTGTGTGTTTCTGGGATATAGAGGTGAAGATTTACTGATTTTCAAGGCTAAAGGGGAGCTATCCAATTCATTGTTATTCTCGGAATGTTGACGATTAATCAATCATTAAAAAGGTATGTGAGTCTTTTCAATAGTTCTTGATTTGGTGAAATATCATGTGATTAAAATCCAAAAAATTTATAATCGCTTTCGTTTTGCCTTCAATTGGTATTAGAGCAAACCATAAAATTTTCATTAAATCATAAAATTGATTGAATTTAATGATGAAAATTAAGAGCCATTCATGTCGGTAAATATTATTTGCATGGTTGTTCGGTTAGTTTTCTATATATATATATATATATATATATATGTTGGACATAGCGGTTGCACTGTAGCAGCCGTGATATGATTTCCATGGTGACTCAAGTTTATATTTTATTATTTCTTATAAGAGTAGTAAGATAATAATAAATAAATAAATAAGACACAGTTCCAGCGGCTTCCAAAGGTAGCGACTTCTTGTATCTATAGTGATTGAAACACGCCCATGTGATGGGCTTTTCATCAAGCAATTAAAAAAATAATAACAATAAATAAATAAAAGGTTATCTTTTGATTATTTATGAAGTAAGAGTGAGTGTTTATTAATGAGTTTGCGCCTAATATTATATTTAATTCTATTAGGTCTCTAATTTGCTTGATTTGATATTAATGAATTTAATATTAGTTTGATTAAATTGACGAATCAAGTGCAGTGATCCTAACACACCCATGTGATGGGGTGTTATGCAGAAATGGTAATCTTCTGATTATCGGTTAGAACAAAACAGAGCAACTGATATGTATACCGGGTGAGTCTGTCATGATATGCAGCAGTTCAACAACTTCTGGTACACATAGGGACTTCCCATGTGATGGGTTGTCCTAACAAAATACAAATTAATCAACTACATAATAATCTGAGGTTCTTGGGTATTCTGATTATTAGTAATCTCATTTTTATAAACTCAAGTTTTGAGTTTTAATTGGAAACTCATGAAAAGATCTTTGAATTTAATTTAATGAGTAACATATTGTTTGTTATTTCACATGGGTCTATTACTTTAATTAGTAGTCATCATTTATGGAGAAATCTCCAGTATTATGTTTTTGATTTTCTTTTTGATTTTTTTTTTCATGGCATTTATTAATGTGTGACTTGTTTATGTGATGGGATTTCAGTTGTAGTGAAATTCAGATAAATATATATATATATATATTTGTATCTAGCAGTTGCATATAGGCAGCTGTTGGTGATTTGTGCACACCCATGTAATGAGATGATTTCTATGTATCTCTTTTATATCGTTATTTCTATGCAATTCTATGCAATCTATTTTGGAACATAATTTATATATGTGCATATAACATAAAATATTATATGAGTTTGATTGCAGGTAATAATAATATAACTATCTCATAGTCCGGTTGACTTTTAATTTATTATTTAATTACATGTGATGTAATTAATTAATTAGAGGTGGCGTTTTAAAGGGCTGATCCAATAAAGGTTGATTTTTCCTAGCCGAATAGGACATATTTATTTTATCTTGTTTAGAATTTTTTGTAAGCCCTAAATTGGGTATAAGACAAAGTCTTGTACTATATTTTCAAAATTTAGGATTAAAATTCTTGAAGAGTTCAAGAAAAGATTCAAACAAGATAAGAGTCAATGCTTCTAATGGAGGAATTTGGAAGCACAAGGTGCTCATAAGATAATATTTAACTGGCCATTAGAGGGGATTAGTACTATTTATGGTGCAACATGATTTTTATTTGCATGCTTATATTCATGTGATGGTTATATGCTTGAATGTCTTGCTTAAATGACCAATTGCTCTAGTTGTGTTGTTGTTAATTTTAAACTAAATAAAATTGGAATTATTTATTTGGGTTGTTTTGGGAAAATTAACACTTTTCAAAATATTTTCAAAAATTTGATTTTTTAAAAATTAAAAATTTTATTTTTAATTAAATTTTGTGGAAAGTGTAGGATTATCTCATAGTTACGCTCAAGAAATTGAACTAAGTTGACCCAAATGGATTAAGCTCATTGAGACTAAAAGAAATTTTAAAATGCATTCCAATATTATTTAGATTAAAATTGATATTGTAATATGATGATAGTATGCATAAGATGTATGAAATTTAAAACTCTCTAATTTCAAAAGTTAAGTGGGAGTGGGATTTAATCTTAAATTCCACAGCCTTCCATTGTCGATCTATTGTAAGGTGGAATAAGTACTTCGCCACCAATCTTCGGTGCTCCTCCGGAGAGTATCTGTTTCACTGGTTCCTAGATATAGATTTCGCATGATAGAACTAGCGGTAGGCAGACGGGGACGATCACCATTAGGAGATGGACCTCATTCAATTGCACTACTTTTAGACAATGGTGTACACTTAACTAAGTGGGAGTACGCTCCACCTCAAGGGGTATTTTCACTTAGAGGCCAAGGTTAAATTGGTTGCCATATTTCATTTGGCATGAGATGCCCAGGATAGTGGGATATGGTGGAAATTGTTTCCGTCTAATCAAGTTAGTGACATGATCTCTTGGTAGTGGCATGTTCTTATTGCCCCCTGAGAGAAATGAGTGAATACCTATAGGGATTATGATTACCGATGTTTTCATTATATCAGTGGTTTAGAGAGACCCATGGATAGGCCACCGGTGTAACTGTCAGTTAACAGTATACTCTGACACTTAAAAGCGCTGGTAATGTAGACTTTAAGGCGTTTTAAACCGTTGATGTATTCTAAATAAACTGTAGAAATTTTTTTACTTTTGAAAGCGTTTTAAACCGCCGATAATGTGTTAATTTTTTAAAAAATATATATTATTTTATGGTTTAATTTACATATTAGCAAATATTTAATTTTGTTCCTTGTTTAGTGAAATTAAAGATAATTTACCAATCACAACACATCCAACAACTTAAATTTTATACGTAACATAGAACAAAGTTGCATTCAAATTCAATAACATCCCATAACATATAAGTTTTGTTTCAAAATGTCAAGTGCTAATAAAAGGTTCAAAAGGAAACACCAAAATCTAATAAAGCTTCAAAAGGAAATCATTCAAAATAAAACATCAACATTTCATTGAGAATTTGAGTGAGACTATGTGAGGGTCTTAAGAATTAATGGTTCAACTTCATCTCTCATCTTGCTTCAAATTTCCCTACATACATTTTAAATAAAAGCCATTAAACAAAAAATAATAATTAAGACATAAAATAACATGATAATTAAAATCTATAGTGCTCACCAAGGATGAAATTTCATGACCAAAAATAAAATTTAAGGATCACCAAGTGTAGTTGCGGAGCCAGGTACCTTTACAATAAAATATAATTTTATCATGCACCTTCATAATATAATATAATTATTAATATATTAGGACTTATAATATTTATATAGTTAAATGTTTACAAGGATACAATAACAAAAATATTTACCTGTACATTATAATTTTGATGTTCAATATGACGCAAAATCATAGCCATTTTTGCATTCAAAGCTTCATATTTTTCATCATACTCAGCACGCATCTTTTCCACTGTCTCCTTCATTTCTCCACAAGCAACACGTGTCTCCTCCTCTGCTTGTGAGGTCTTCCTTATCAGCTCCGCTTTACTAGAAGATGGCCCCCAGAGACTAGTTGATGTAGGTCCCAAGCCATACATCCAAACATGACCCCTTCTTTCTTCTCCCCTAACTTGGGCATAAAAATCGTGGGGTGAAGGTTCATCTTGGTTAGAAGGCTGAGTTGCAGCAAGCTCTTCTAGTTGTGTCTGCATACATGCGTACATAGAATGGATAAGGAAACACAAAAAGATATAAAACATCAAATATAAAAAAATTTAGTCCTCATATTTTACACTTAATCAAACTAGGAAATAAAGAATTGATGGTCTAAAAAAATACTTACAATCATTTTGGCAGCATGTTCATCACTAGCTTTGCCATCCTTCTTGCTCTTATGAGTTGCGCAAAATAGTTGAGCACAGGTTGGCGCCTTTCCTTCCAACTTCATCTGTTTTTTTAAAATATATATATCTTATTATAATTATACCGCAATGATGTATAATAAATTGTGTGACATACAAGTGATTAACTTCATAAAAAATCATGCTTAACCTTTTCAGCCTTCTGCGCATAACTCATTGTCCGAGTTGTGTGCAACATTGTTTGCTTAGAGCGATTTACTTCATTTTGTTTGCTTTGTTTCAAACAAGGGAATAAGAAGGTATATATTAGCTCTTAAATTGTAAACACACACACACACACACACACACACTATATATATATATAATATTACACACACACGCTTCCACTAGATAGTTCTAATGAGCTAATTAGATTACTCCGTATTTTTAAACAAATCTTATATATGTTATATATGTTTTCAACAAATATAGTTTCACTATAAAAGACAGCTTCGTAAAGTTTTAACACCCAGGATATAGATCTGTTTTTCCATCATCTAGAAGCTTGTAAAACTCATTTGCCTCTTCATTAGGGCCCCGATGATACTCATTTTCCCAATCAGCTTGTTCACCCATTTCATTTTGAATTCCAAAACCCTCATATTAGAGTTTGTGCATGTCATCAATATTTACGTTGGAGTCGATATGCTCGTATGAGGTGTCCCCATCATTATGCCTAGAAGACGAAGGTAATTGTTCTCCATGATAAATCCAAATTGTGTATGCATTGATAAACCCATTCCACATCAAGTCATCCAAAACTTCTTGCCTTGTTTTCTTATCCATTATATAACCTAGTGAAACAAGGAACATATGAATCTCAAATAGTGTTAAATAAGATTATCCAAATTAATTCAGCAATTGGCAACACCTTTTCCAAAAGAGAACATGAACTTGTAAGGTGGATAGATATTTTTTTTTTCATCATTAGTAGGAAGATCATTGAAGATAAAAACTTGCAATATTATCTTTAGAGACCTACTAAACTCAACAAAAACCTTTTCTCAATTGTTTGGGGTGACCTGCATGAATCTCGTTTCGCTATTCCACTTTATCTAAGCTCATAATCTCAGTCAGACCACATATTGTTATATTTTTTGTGAGATAAATACATAAAATGATCAAAGTGATATTAGATGTAAGAATGGGATAAAAGGAAAAGAAGTAATTAGGTTCTTGACAACTAGGTGGGGAGCCTTAACTCTTAAGAATAAACCAATAATGAATAGTTTAACATCTAAATAGTGCAGCTAAAATAACATTTTTGGGAAAATAGATGGTCGATAAGAGTACAGTTGTGTTGCTCTTTGGAGGATTTACATCCTTTGGAGGCATTTGTTTGAGTTCATTTCAAATGGTCATTGTGATATCTGCTTTAGAATTTAGAAAGAATCTCGAGATAGGAAAAATGGGGAAAATTTAAATGTATGAAGCTTAATATAACATGAATGAAAATTGTTCTCTTTCCCGTAGTTTCCTGGGTTACTATAAGAAGGAATCTTTACGCAAAACTTGTTTTGCTTCTGAAAAAGTATTTGGTGTGTACTAATAATTGCACATATTGATAAGGCCCAAAATACAAAGCTTTTATATTCTTTTCTTAGGAGAAAAGGAAGGGGCATTCTTCAAAATTTTATCAGTTGATATAATCTTATCAATTACTTTTGTGCCTCTAGTTATTCTGTGTTCTTAATTCTGAGAGAGAAGGGTTGGTTGGAATTGGTATATGTTTTGCCTTTCTTTCACCAAGTCATCAACCCCTCTACTTTTGTCAACGGAAACTTGATTAAAACCCTTTCATTTCTATATATACATATATAATATATATTTTCTGATCCGTATTCGAGCTGAATCAATTACAGCCATGGCCACCACTGGAAACAAGAGCATCAACGCCAAATTGGTGGTTTTTTTTTTTTTTGTCTTCAATTTTCCCCTTTTTGTTGAGATTGTTTTTATTCTGTTTAGTCAACTTTGTTATTCTGATTGGTTTATATATTATATATATATATATATAAATCATGTGAATTCTGATGTGGTTCTGCTTCAATTCCTAAAAAATTGATGTATTGCGCCGCAAATTACCTTCTGTTTTGATTTTTTTTTTTTGGCTCAGTAGTTCCAATTCAAAGTTCTTGTTGAATTTCTAATACTTCAATTTTGAAATTGAGACAGTGGTGTTATATTTTACAGGATTGTTATTTTGCTTTTGGATCATAGTTTATTTAATTTTATGCGATCACTGATGTGGGTTTTTCCTTTTTTGGCCTAGGTTTTATTTTATTCTTACATTGTGCTCTTGTCGTCTGCTGTGTTTGCTGTTTCTCTTGCATTATCCAGCTGAAAGTTTACATTGAATATTTCTTATTCAGGAAGTTCTGCTGGGTTAATAGCTTTTTAATTAAATTCTGTAAATAAAATTGGAGCTTTTCATGATTTTTTGAGTTGAGTTGTTTACTACTGGCTTTGCTTGATCATTTAGGGCATTTTTTTTTCCCTTTCAAGTATCTGGTTCCATTCACTTGTGTCTCTCTTATATGTTTTATCATAGTTTTAGCATATTAGAATCCATTTATGAATCTGTCCTGGGTGACCTTTTTCTTCAACTCAAGTTGGATTGTTTCTTCTTCAGGGAGAGGTTCTACTAAAATTAGTTGTTCTTGTCCAATTAAGGTCATAAAAGAATTATTTATCCTTTTTCCTTTTTTGGTAATAAAATTCAACTTACTTATCCCCCCAAAAAAAAAAAAAAAAAAAAAAACACAATAATAAATAGTTATTCTTATTTATAATTAGGGTAAAGTTTTTTTTGACAAAGACACCCTCTGAAGGTTCAAAATGGACAAAGACACACCTTTACATGAGAAATTGACCAAATTACCCTTTGACCGTTTATGAGACTTTTTTAACTTTACAATTTAATAAATTGGACCAATCTACCCTCATGAACAATTTATGCATAAAAAAAAAAAAAAAAAAACTTTATATTGTTCACTTTTTTTTTGTTATTTACTTTATAAATGTCCCAACTTCTTAAAAATGTAGACGTCTAAAATGATTTTTTTATCCTATACATATATTTCAAATAAATTATATTTTGTTATTACTTCTTTTCTTTTTCCTTTTTATTTTTAAATTAAGACATAACTTTATGCATCTTAAATTATACATCAAATATTATGCATTTCCCAACATAAAAGAAAATAGGTACCAGTATAACTTTATGCATCTTAACTTTATGCATGCCTTCTGCTGTTGTGAGTTTGCTTGGAAGGTTTGGGGATCGTTGGCAGACCTTTGTCATTGGAGGTTAAAGTCATATACTTCAATCCGAGATATGGCTTTGGATTTTACCGTGCAGTTTCAAAATAGATCTCAGAGAAAGGAATGACAGAATGTATAATGGAACTTTTGTTTCTCCGGTTGAAGTGGCTAAGAGTATTTTGTGGGAAGTAATGGATATCTTGGGCGTATGCCTCCAAGATGTTATTTCAGCTCTTCATTAGTTTTTCATCTAGAGGTTTGCCTGAAATTGTTTTGTTTTATGTCTTGATTTGCCTTGATTAGGCTGTTTTCCCATGTGGGGTATGTCCCATGTGCCTCTTGTATTTATTGTTTATATTTATAAAATTTCCTCCCATTTAGGAAAAAAAAAACTTTATGCATGCCTTTTTTTTTTTTTTTTTTTTCCTTTAATATATAATTTAGGATGCATAAAGTTTTACTGGAACCATATTTTTTATTTTTAAGGAAAAAAGATCGGTTTAATTTTTTTAGATGAAAGAATTAAGCATCTTAATTTAAAAAAAAAAAAAAAAAAAAAAAAGTAATAACAAAATATAATTTATTTGAAATATATGTATTAGATCAAAAAATCATTTTAAACGTCTACATTATTAAGAAATTGGGACATTAATAAAGTAAATAACAAAAAAAAAAAAAAATTGAACAATATAATTTTTTTTTTTTTACGTTTTTTTTTATGCATAAATTGTTCATGAGGATAGATTGGTCTAATTTATTAAATTGTAAAGTTAAAAAAGTCTCCTAAATGGTCAAAGAGTATTTTGGTCAATTTCTCATGTAAAGGGATGTCTTTGTCCATTTATTTTTGAACCTTCAAGAGTGTCTTTATCCAAAAAAACAAGTAAGTTTCCTCTTAGTGTCCTTTTGCCAAACTTCGGGGGTGTGGCTGTACTTTACCCTTATAATTAATAGTAGTAATTTTCTCCATGCTCCCTTTTTTCTTGCATTTGTTTTCACGTTTAGCTCTTGTTTCTCTTAATTAGGTTCCCGTGCTTGCCAATTTATTAAACATGATGTCTGATATATGTTTCAGGTGCTTCTTGGGGATGTTGGAAGCGGATAATCTAGTCTGGGGTTGCGTTTTGTCAAAGGGCAATTTGTTGAATTTCAGGTGGGTCTTCCTATTATGGATCTTGCAGTAATAAATGTTATTACTTTTGATTTCTCTTTTAGATTCTGGGATTTGAGTTGTGCTGTATAATGTAGGAATCAACTATATTATAAGATCACCAAGTTATGTTTCACAAGCAAAGCTTGTTATTTTTGGGTTTAATATATGGTTTTGAAAAGGATGGATTATGAGAGCAAGATATATATTACACCCTTAGACAGTTGAGATAGTTAACAGGGTTGAATGGTTCTTCTAACTATACTAATATGTTTTACAGGATAATTTTTGGTCTGATGGATTGAAGTTTACTCGAGGCTATCATAGTTCAATGCAAAAAACTTCTATAAAAAATGTGACTAACATAGCCTACAAACACAATGTATATGTCAGTACGGGTGACTAGCTGAACATTTACTTTGGAAAGGTCCATCTGCTTTAAAATCTAACTTGGCTGCGACTTAAGAACCCTACAGCGAGTAAAATCTAACACATGCCTGAACCTATTAGTTTTTTTCGGATAATTGATGGTGTACTGTTGATATATTCATACAGCCTTTAAATTCTCTAAGTTCTCTACAGTAGCCATAAAACAGACAAAAACGGAAGTTCCAGGCAAAAGAGCAGGCACCTTGGACAAAGCACCATTCGAGAAGAAAGCAAAGCAATATAAGCGTCGTGCTGCTAGGCAAAGCGGTAGAGTACTGCACCCTCGATAAGAGACGAGATTTAACAAACTTTAAGGCTCCGTTAAAATATTCTTTACAGAAAATATTTTCATTTTTTAAATAAAATATTTTTTTTATTTGTACTTTTGCAGTATTCGGCAAACGAATTCTTTGAACAAGACGTTTAAAATAACTTATTAATTTGATAAATAACTTTTGTAAAATTTTAATATAAATATTTTACTACAACCAAGCCGTCAAAAAATAAAAAAATATTTTCTAAAAAATATTTTACATCCAAAACGCCTAAATATAAAAGCTCAGCCTAACATATAGGAAGCATCGGCAGTAATTGGTATGCTGTGGGGGTAGTACAAGTGTACAAGACAGACAGGAAAAGCAATTGCTGAAAAATGTAGAATGTGAAAACAGAAAAACAGAAAGATACACTGGCATAGACACAGACATATATATCAATATTTTTAATAGAAAGAAGAAACCTCAACACTCTGTTTAAAAGAAGCATAAGAGAAAAATGACCTGTTGATTGGAATTAACAGCTGATGAAATAGTAGAATAGGCAAGAGAACCCCGAGATCTGAAATTGGGGTATATGTGTCTACTTTGATCACAGAATGAACGTGTCCGCACCAAAATCACAATGCAAAGATTCATCACGGTTCGTTCTTGACTCGAATCCCCTTATGTGCGAATTTTCATCTCAAGAAGAGGAAGTTAGGGTTTAAACTACTTACAACTTACAGAAGCCCAACCCTTCAACCACCACTGTCCAGACCTCCGATGCACCACCACCGCACCACTAATCGACCACCGCCGCCGTGCTCTTCCCTGCGCCGCACCACCAAGCCCTGATATCGTGGGTAAAAGAGAAGAAAGGAGTCAAACCTAAAATGTGCTATTCTGGGATAAAATTATATATGAAACTAACCCAAACCCAAACCCAAACCCAAACCCAAACCCAAAATGTGCTATACTAGGATAAAATAATAATAAATAAAATAATAAGAATTAAATTATTATCAGCACAGTGTTAGTAATATAACTGTCGGAAATAATTAATAATTTTAATTAATAATTTTCGGTGTTTTTAAAAAGGCTGTCGAAAATAATTAATATTTTTCAGTACTTTTAAAAAGACTGCTGAAAATAATTAAAATTTTCCGGCACTTTAAAAAGGCTGCCGAAAAAAATTAATATTTTTCAGCACTTTTTAATGAAAATGATATTTGTTGTAGTGTTGGTTAGTAATTCCAAACCATTTACATGTAGTCCACAATGTCTTTCACGTTTTCATGTTGTGGAAATATCTGCGAAATAAGGATCGTTATCAGCATATTAATGTTGGCGAGATTGAGTTGCAGCTGGACGCAATATATGTGGAGCCACTGTATTGTATTATAGACCATAGGGATCAGATTCTTTGTAACAATGTTATACCTTTAGTGCATGTCCAGTGGAACCATCATAATGAGGTTAAGTCTACTCCATCATAATGAGGTTAAGTCTACTTGGGAACGACATAATGTAATTCGCTCACAATTTCCATAAGTAATGGAAGAAGGTAAGGGCGAATTTCAAGTACGAAATTCCTTTTGCTAAGGAAAATAATGTAATACCCCTAATTTTAAAATGATAGTCTCAGAATTTATTTAATTATTTTTTTATTTTTAATTAATTTTTTGATTACGTGACTATTTGTTTATGTGCTTGTAATTGAATTGTTTATTTAAATTAATTGTGTGCTTAAATGGTTTATTTTAATTTAATTTGTTTGTATTATTTTATTTACTTAAATGATGTGTAGCTATTTGTATTTTAATTGTTAGGATTAAATGAATTAAATATCTATGTTATTTTATATTTTAATAGAGATGAATATAGATAGTAGTAATGGACCAACTATTTGAGTCACATGGTACTTGGATAGGAGTCTTAATGGGTACGAATATTTATCCATGGATTGATGTACATATATATATATGGGTATATATGTATATAAGGATATTATATTTATTAGTATTATAAATAGTTAATATTAATAACTATAGTCAATATTATATATAATTATAATGTTATATTATATATATATATATATATATATCATAGAATTGGGGTTTGATTAGGATATTAGTAATATATATATATATATGTGTGTGTGTGTGTGTGTGTTATATGTGGATTACACAACCCTTGTACGCAGACAAGGAGAGGGGCGAGAAATCGAGAGAAAGGATGAAGGTTTTAGCTAAAGTTAAGGTCGGACCAAGGTGAAAGAAGAAAGGGTTGTTCTTGGATTTAGGACCGAGCAACAAAGGGCTTCGAAGGCAGCTAAAGGGTCGCCGGAAAAGCTAGAAAGAAGAAGGTTAAGGTTTCAATCCAAAATCTTCAGATAAGTTTTATGTAATGATCCGAAATTTTCGGATAAATTTTTTCCGTTGTCTTTTCCCTTCTGAGTTTGGTTTCTTGTCGATTAGTGTCGTCTCGAGTGCTCTGGAGTGATTTCTGAGACTCTTTTCTGTGGATTGACAACTTCCTTTGAGGACTGAGTCATTCCTACATTTTTCATTTTTCGACACTATTCATTTTTTGTCTTTTCTTTATTTTGTCTTTTTTTCCTATTTCGTCTTTTCCTCGTTTGTCACTCTGTTTGCGTAACCACACTTCTTATGTTCGGAGTTGGTTTCTGACTTCACATATCTTCATTCTCAGTGATTTCTATGAGATACGTATCTTTACTTTCGTGAGAAAGTATTCTGGTTGCTCCCGGTGCCCATAGGGGCACAAGTGCAAAGTTCTTTGGAAACTTTTTCTTTTCTTGGAGTGTTTTTCATAAATATCTTTTGAAGATATTTTATGTCAAGGATATCTAAGAAAATATCATTCTGGGGCAGTTTCGTAGTTTTCACTTTTTGGAGGGGCCATTGTGCAATTAATGAAAGTTATTACTCAATGCCTTGTTTTGAGCCTGGATCCTCGTATGGGATTCATTTTCACATTTTGTCGAGTTGTGAACTCTTAGAATTTCCTCCTGGACGATATTTTTATGTTTCAGGGTTTCTGGCCCCGGTTTGCGCCAAACTTGTTTTGGGCATAACTCTCTGCTCGGGACTCGATTTTCGACGATATTTCTTCCGTTGTTCATATTTTCTCATTTGGAATACTTTTCGTTCACGGAGTTTTTCTATTTGAGCGCGTCTGCTCGAATTTCACTTTTCCGGACCCGGCAGGACCCGTTCGGGGCACTTTTTGAGTTTTTCTATAAATAGGGGATCTTTAAGTGAAAAATCATATTTCACTCTCTTTCTCCCCTCTCTTGGCCGGATCTCATGGCAGCCATGGCTGCCATCTTCTCTCTCCTCTTTTCAGCTTCTTCCCTTCAATGAAATACCTTAGTACCTTAGTGTTTAATGTTCCCCTCGGCGAGGCTTTCGATTCCAACCGATTGGAATCTCGTTTTGGCCATTTCTTGAGTTCAGGTTTGAAGTCAAGTTGTGTTTTTGATGGAGCTTCCTTGGGATTCATGTTCGTGGTGTTGTCCCTGACAAAATCTAGAAGTTTCGTCAGATTTGGAGCTGTTCCATTTTGGTGAGGATTTGAGATTTCATCTCAAATGTTTTAGGCTTTTGTGTGTGTTGTATTGAGTGTTTAGCATGATTATACAACTTATATATGTGCCTTGTATCAAATCTAGAAAGTTAGTAATTTTTAATTCTTTGTATAAGATTTAAAATTCATGATGATATATAACTTTGATTTGAATTGTGGTAAGGTAAAAAATCTTGTTTTAATATGTTGGTTAACATATATTAAATTTGGATTAATTAAATAAGAATTGCTCTTTTTAATTAATATTTATCTTTTGTGAAAGATTAAAATTCATGACTGTACCTTGCATGAAATTGAGTTGTATTATGTTTCTAAATTAAGTTTTGGCATGTTTATTAACATACTTTAATTTGAGAGCATTTGGTTGAGTTTGAAAATCTAGAGGCTTTAATAAAGAGAATTAATTAAAATCTATTTTTGTGGTTTCATGGGCCTAATTAAGCTTTTGTGTGAATATATGTAATGACCATGATATGTCTTTTATCATATATTAAATTGAGGCCATTTGGAAATGATTTGAAATCTAGAAAGTTTAATTATTTTGATATAATTAAATTATATCTTATTTATTCATGGATCTAATCATGTTTTAGAAGTTGTTTCTATTTTAAGAGCATGGATTTTGACTTGTGATGCATTTACTTGATTGTGTTATATGCATTGAAGAACATTGTTGTGTAATTATATTCATAAGAGTATGTTTCTAATATGAATATATTGTTGGCTTGTGATTTCATAGCATTATGGATATGAAATACTTATTATGCACTATTGGGAGTTAAATTGCTAACTTGTTACTATATAGTAGTAATATGTATAAGTTGTGAACTTATTTGGCTTATTTTGGAATCTTGTGACATTGTTGAGTTGAGATAGCTAGGGTTTGGCTCTAGTACGGGGACGTGAGTCCTCTAAGTCATTGAGATAGTGAGCACTTAGGGTGGTCTTCCCTGCGGGTTAGTGCCCGGAATAACCATTGAGTTCTCGGCAGAATTCCGAGCTTGATATCCAAGTCTTCCACTAATTGTTTTCGCATTCAATTCCAAGTTGACAATCATGTTTATCTTGTTGACTTGTGGTTTTGGCTATTGGCGATTTTGATGTTGTTAAGTACATCCATACTAAATTGATATATTTAGTTGATTTACATTTTTGGATTTCTAGTTGATAACCTAGAGAACCTATGTCTTGATGTGTGGCATTAGATATTCTAATTATGCTAAATTGTTATATTTAGTTGATGTTGCATTTTAGACTTCAAGTTGAGAACCTTGAGAATCTATATGTTGTTGCTTTGTGTAAGCATACTCCTATGCTGTTGCTTTGTGTAAGCATGACCCTATGTTGCTAAAATTACATGAATGAGGTGATTGATGCTAGAAATGATCTTAGGTAGCTAGGATGCTCCTTGAGTCTCACCTTTGACATAGACGTTAGGTGGAATGAACTACAATAATTAAATCATGCACACTTGTAAAACGTAGGTCGATGCATGCTCATTTCCTACGAGTAGTTTTATGTTACTCACCCCTACATTACTGGGGCATATTTCAGGTACAAGAATCAAAGTTGAGGTTTTCATATGCTTGGATGGTTTGTGGACTTGGAGACTTCCATTTTTGTGAAGGTTAGCTTAGAATGCCAATTGTAGTCTTATATGTCAACATGTATAAATTTGATTCCTTATATGTAATGTGTACATGAGTACACTCTTTACGATGTATTTGATATGTATGAGATGAGGCCGGAGGCCAATGACATGTAATTTGTATCTTCTGTAATTTTTGACTTCATGGAATATTATGAAAGTATTGAAAAATGTTGAGTTTTTGCTTCACCATGTTTGCATTGGGTGTGGGAATTCCATTTTAATTCTTCCATTAGCATTCATTCACCATGTATGAAATGTGGCCAAGGGCCAAACGGCATTTTGAAACCATCTCATGATTTTAAATTCCAAGTTTTCGTTCCAAACTTTGTTTTTGGCATTTTGGCCGTTGGGGGGTCATATTTTGTATCGGCCATATTTTTGGGCCATTGACCATTGTAGCACATCTTACTAGATAAGTTACGTTTGCGTGCATGGTTGTTTTTGGGCAAAGCTTCTTCTTTGGTGAAATGAGTCTCCTACGGACTCGTTTTACACTTTTGTTGCATATTCTAACCTAAGGGTATTTTGGGAATTTTTTTTGGGAAATAAATTTTGTTTTTCACATGGTCACTTAGAAAATGTGATTGTAGGGGGGGTTCTTCTTCGTGTTTTTTCAGAAAATGTCATCTTGGTATCGGAAATCGATCACAAA